GTGAGATGAGCGGTGGGATGAGGCCACCGCTTAGGTGGGGGTGAGGTGGCTAACGTGCGCCAGGGGGGTGGGGGTTAGTTAACCTACGCGCACACACCACCACAAGAGAGAGAGGGAGAGGGAGAGGGAGGTGGGGGGCCAGGTCCACCTTCTCTGTCTGACTTTGCCCATTATCTTTGTCATTCTTTGATTTGATCATCATCACCATCATCAGCAATTTGTTGGTAATTTGGTAAAATAATAACTTGTGTGGGTGAGGCGGTGGGTGGAGGGTGGGTGGCTAAAGAGACTATGAGCCGATTATTATGACTTGGTTGGGTGGTGATTGGCTTGGCATTTTTGTATGTGGGCTTGGGTTAGTGGTTAGTGGTGGTTTTGGGTTTTTTTTGTTTTTTTGTATTGTTTTTGTGGGTAGTCTTTTGTAGGTTTTGAGGGGTTGAGGAGGGGGAGAGAGAGCGTGGGAGAGAGGGAGGTGGGGGTTGGGGGACAAGAGGTGGTGGTGGTACTAACTAAATGCACCAATAGGGGCAGGTTTTGTTTTGTAGCAATTGATGAGAGAGAATGGGGTATGTGAGAGGAGTTTGTGTGACTTTGGTGGTGTTTCAAATAATGGAAGGTCAGTTAATTATATCACATGGGTTCTCGTATGTGATGCAGTAATAGGGGTTTCAGATTTTTTTTATTTATTTTTTAAACAAAGGCTTACCTTTTTAGTTTTGTTTTTTGTTTCACATTCAAAGTGGAATTTTTCAAACGTGAGTTAGTCGTGTTGGTTAGAGTAATGAGTCGATGTTCTTGCATTTAAGTTTGAGTGTTTCTTCTGGTAAATTACATTAATTTAGAGTAGTTTATAATATTGCCTTTATTTAATAAAACTGGCTCTACTATTCTCATTTATGTTACATAAATTTGAAATATTTTTTGTAAAGTTAATAAAAAAATTCAAATTATTTATACAATTAATTTTATTAAAAACACTTTGAAAAACTAAAAGAATTCAATCGGTTAAAATATTTCAAATCTGATTTGAGAGTAAACATGAACAACCTAAAAGAAAAAGAAACAAAGAAAGATGGCGGGTTGGGGATAGGAGCTATGTTGCACTAACACGGACATGGAGACACGATAAGGCAACACGGTGACATGAAAAATCTCAAAAAACTAAGACACGAACACAACTATGACACGACAATTAAATAATAATAAATCGTGATAAAATTATAATAGTATATACTTATATTGAAAAATAATTCATACTCAATATTTCAATGTCATAATACAATAAAACAAAACGAAGTACTCATATTCATCATTTATACATAATAATTAATACACCACAAAATATGATTGAGCATGAAAGGAGGCCTCATTTCCCTAAACAAAATAAAGCACTATACACATATTTATTCACACATAAAACGATTTCCCACCTCATAAAATAAGAATTGGTTTAGCATTAAAAAAAAAACAAGAAACAAAGTGAATGAATTACCCACTTGACCGAATTGTTATCAGTATCTTTAGTCAACCAAAAATATCAACTTTGCTACAAAGGAACAAAGAAAAAAAGCATATTTAAACAAAAGAAATTGACTAAAAAAATATGATAAAACTGATGTAAAAAAAAATAAAAAAATCGGTTCGTAAGTATTTATTGATGTTTCAACTTCAAGTATAAAATAAGATGAGAAGAAAAAATATGTGGAGAGGGAGGGAAGAAAAGTTGAGTGTTTTTCATGAAAGATGCGGCTGGCTGGGAGAGAAGAAAAGCACACTTTTTAAAACTATTTCAAATATGCCCACAGTTGTTTCAATAATTATGTTGTGACCCAGTTTTTGTTTTTAAATTTCCAAAATGGTTCCTGCCATGTCATGACTTCAGTTAACCGTGTCTAAAAGTGTCTTGACCGGTCCGTGTCCAAAACATGTCTTGACTGCGTCTTGACCGTTGACTCATGTCTAAGCCATGTCCGAGGCTTGTCCATGTGTCAGACACTCCGACACTTTAGCCTAATGGGGTGTTCGTGCTACGGGTGCCCTAACGTTACTATATGATCACTACCATAGTCTAAAATATCAATAATATCGACAAAATATTGAGGATATTATTATTTTTTGGAGTCAAGGATATTTTGAAACGTATCCATACATATATTATATAAATATCGGAAGATATCGATATCGATAATTTCTTTCACTTCAGCAATATTTGGCAACAAAATATCGCTATAATATCAATAATATCGGGATAATGAAGACAATGAAAAATTTGAAGAGTTATTTATACTAACACCCCCTAAGGTTTCTTGCGTTTTCACAAAACCCCCTCATGTCTAAAAAATTACATGAACACCCCCTGAGGTTTCAGTTTGTTTTCACAAAACCCCCTATGAGTAGATTTGTTCGAAAATCAATTTTCGACTTATGCAAATGACAAAATTAACCTCAATGAAGTATATGCAATCTAATCTCAAATGTCAACTTTGTCATTTGGAGAATTTTTGTTTTATAAAATCATCAATCTTTGAATGGAAAATAAATGAAAATGAGTTTTGTGATAACAATTTAAAACCTCAGGGGGTGTTATTGTAATTTCTAAAACCTCAAGGAGTTTTGTGAAAAAGCCGAAACCTCAGGAGGTGTTAGTGTAAATAACTCAAATTTGAACCTTATAGATACTCTATATGGTATTAAGTCACTTATGTATCTTACCATGCAATGTATAAAGTGTAAAATATTGTAGTAAATCATTATAAATAAATGATTATGCTGTGTTTAATCTTCTTTAATTAATTATTACATATTTTCTACACTTACAGTGTTTGTCAGCTCGCTCTATAATCAACTTAACTCAGTTAACTCTGTCAATGCAATGCATTTCTTTCCAATTTTTGTGATAAAGTAATAGATAATTGACTATATAAACATCCTCCAAAGTTTCAAGAAAAGTTTCCAAATTTTTCTTACAATTTCCATGATTTTTATCGATATTGATAATATCCCAATATTTCTATCGAAATATCCGTATTTTTGAATTACCGATATTTCTAAAACCATCGATATTTTAGACATTGATCACTACAATGAGCATTTAGGACAACTATAACTTTGTATATATAAAAAAATAAAAAATAATAAAAATAATAAAAAGACAAGTATAACCAAAATTTAGAACCAAAAGTCACTTGAAACTTTTTTAATTGTCATATTAATTAATTACAACAATTTCCCTCTAAGATCACTCGCTTGACTATTAATGAAATGAATTTGAATGCATACCAATTAATTTCGAACTAATTTATTTCTTTAGCTAAACAATAGTACAAAATGTACTGAAATTTTTTCTCTAATTAAAAATTAATTAGGAAATAATAGTTTTAACTCTATTTATAGATACTTGAAAAATAAAGAATTAGACCAACTCCATGGTATGGGGGCCGTACGGTGATAATGGTGATGGTTAGGGCCTGTTTGGGAGTGCTTTTGGAAGGGACAAAAGCGCTTTCTGATAACTAAAAGTACTTCTGACAGTGTTTGGCAGAAAAGTTTAGAAGCGCTTCCGGGAGAAGCACCTGCTATGTGCTTCTTCAGGAAGCACTCCCAAGTGCTTTCACGAAGCACTTTAATTATTTATGAAAATTCTAAATTTTATAATAAAAGCACTTTTGTTAGAAGCGCTTATGAGCTGAAGTACTTCCTAGAGAAGCAGTCTCAAACTGTTAGAAGCGCTTAGTAGATGGTTCAACTGCAGTTGCTGCAATATTAATTGACAACAATGGACAGGTGGTAGCAAATGTTGGGGATGCTCGAGCTGTTTTCTGTTGCAAGAATAATGGAGTGGCTAAACAGCTATCTGTCGATCATGAGCCAAGTGTGGAAGTGGAAAGAGAAGCAGTTGAGAAGAGAGTTGGTTTTGGAACAGAACCTCCAGAACCACGTGTTAAAGTGATGTTACCACTAAACATACCTCTAACAATACCATTAACAAGGGCCTTTGGTATCAAAGCCTTGGAGAAATATATTACCTGTGAACCTCATGTGGTGGTGGAGTTGATAGATGACGAAACAAAGTTTCTTGTGCTAGCAAGTCATCCATTATGGACAGTGATGTCCAACCAACAAGCCATCGATTTCTTTGGGCAAATAATGGATCCTAGAAAAGCAGCAAAACACCTTACTCAGCTATTACCTTTAGGATCCCTACGATTTATTTTATATTAAAATATACTAGTCTCTCCGCACGCGCAAAAGCGCCTGGGAGAGGTTTTTTTAAAAAAAAAAATTAAATTTATTTTAGAAGTAAAAAAGATAATGGATAGTTATGTTTCATAAAAATAGTATCCATTATCTGATTTTTCTTTTAATTATAATTTTTTTATGGTGGAGAGGTTTCATTGAGGGATCTCTCAAAGTAGCTTATTTGAGAGACACCCTTGTAGGGCTCATTCTGTGTTGAAATATTAGTACTTTCTTAAAGAACCATATTAATTGATTTTGGAGAACACAAAGATCGCGTTAAGAATAAAGTACATTATCAAACAATTTGGAAACCAATTTATATTATTTCTACTCGAGAAAAAATAGATTAAAATTGATGTTAAAATATATTCATTTTCAATAGCCAATTCATAATTTTCTAGTCAAATGTTTTGAACCTATTAATTGGCTAAAAATTCATTTTTAGATAGGAAAGAAAATGTAAAAGGAAACTTATAGGCTTGAGATTAAGAGCCCATTACTTAACAGCCCACACAGGAGAGAGAGGAGGAAGGCCTTGCCATCATTAACTGTACACGTAAGTTGCTATAATCTCCAGGTGGCAGCAGCTCATGCTTTGCATGCTTCTGCATATTTGGCAAGATCATAACCCCCCTTCAGCACTTCCTATCCAATCTCGGACTCGGAGGCTTGGTTTGCTGCAAAGGGCCAAAAAGGTATTCCTCTTCCTTCATTGATTGTGGATTTATGGTGTCAATCTTATGCTTTCGGAAGCAAAATGTTGGAATTTTTGTGGGAGGTGCTCACATTTTTGTGGGGTTTGGTTATTTACTGAAAGGAACAGATCATTTTTGAGTTTAATAATTCTGGGTTTCTATCATCCAATGGCAAGTTTGTGTTTTGGGAAGTTGATTTGGTATGTGTCTTGGATTGGGGCCTAGTGGTAAAATTAAGATGGGCTCTGTATATGGTCCTTTTCCTTGCTACTTTTGTATGGATTTCAGCTTTTTAGAGAAGCTACAAGTTACAATTTCTCCAAAAAAAAGGTCTTTTCCAAATCGAAATGTGCTTTGGATGTGTTGTGTTTGTGGTTTTTTGTGATTTGGAAATCTTGTCTTCTGAGTATGGTCATGGTAAATGATTTCGAGTGCCCGAACAGAGCACAAATTTTCCAAGTTAACCAATATATCCTCAGTACATTGTGCCTTATTTTCTGCGGAAAGAGTAATGGAATTGTTGAATTTGTTATTTATTGAAATTTGATCATGCTGTTGCTTGGATGTGATTATATTGAGATAACAAATATCTCATATTCAGTTGTATGTAAAAGCAGTTTTTGGAAGCTACGTATTTGTATATACAAGCTGGGGTTTTTAATCTCTAAGTGAGAAAGATGGTTTTACCAGAAGAAGAGATCACAAGGCTTTACAGAGTTCGAAGAACTGTGATGCAAATGCTGAGAGATCGGAAATACTTAGTTGGCGATTTTGAGATCAACATGACAAGAGAACAGTTCAAGGCCAAATATGGAGAGAACATGAAAAGGGAAGACCTTACTATCAATAAGACAAAACGAAATGACAGCACCGATCAGGTGTTTCAATGATGCCTTTTATTGCAGTAGATGCAGCCTGTAGTGTCATTCGGTCTTTAATTGTTTGTTCTTTTGTATCAGCTTTACGTCTTCTTTCCTGAAGAGCCAAAGGTTGGGGTCAAGACCATAAAAACTTACACCAACCGCATGAAATCGGAGAATGTTTCCAGAGCAATCTTGGTTACTCAACAAAATATGACTCCCATGGCAAGGACCTGTATAAGCGAAATATCGTCAAAATTCCACATGGAGGTTTTTCAGGTGAAGTTTATTGCTTAAAACTGTTGTTAGATTGATGAAATTGTGTTTCTGAGATCTTGAGAATGTCACCAAAATCTATTAAAGGATCTATGGAAATGAAAGGTACCAGAAACATCAGCTTTCTTAGTTGGGAAAGTCTTAGTATCAGAAACATGATGATTTACTTCAGTTTCTTTCTACAGACACATCACTGTTGTAACATGCTTAGTTGGTTTCCAAGGGCCTTTTAAAAGGAAAATGTATCTCATCAAATACACTCAATAGTATTAGTAAAATATGACAAATTGATATTGCCTATAATTTAGTGTGACAGATTGGATGCATGGGGTTATCTGATAAATGTTAGCTAGTTTTGAGAGACCCAATTGGCAATTCCAACAAATTGAATCCAGGTCCGTCTTAGGTTCCACTATGTTGCCTAAAACTAGGTCTGTCTTGAGGGTTTTCATTGCAGTGTTTGATTTACTTATTTCCGGGACATCTTCAACCTCAACTTGGGTTGAAGGTTTGTTTCTTCTTGTCCGTATATATATATACATACTAGTTCCACCCTTGTGTGGTGGATAATAATTGCAGCGTGCATTGTTCACAAATTTAAAGGATATTCATGTTTTTTTTGTTCTATTAACTCACCGGTGTAGGAGCCAGAGTTGATGGTGAATGTTACAGAACATGTTCTAGTTCCTGAGCATCAGCTGCTTACGAATGAGGAAAAGAAGACCTTACTGGAGAGGTATACTGTGAAAGAGACACAGGTGAGTACTAAACAATGCTAATCTTGCATTGAAGAGATTTATTAGGATGCTATGTAACACATGCCATGACCTGACCTATATCTAGAGGCATACACACTAACATGTGCCACAATCTATTAAAGTTAAATTAAGTGATTTTATTGTTCTTCGGGGTCAGCTTATTTACTTGCATTTTAGGCTTCATGTGTCTTTACACCCTCCAAACTATTTTAACAAACTGTTTCTTTCTTTTGTTCCCTCTTAAGATTGTGATGTTTCATGTATGTATGTTTCAAACACATCTTAGTTTACAGTGGCAAACCAAACCGATTGGGATACTAATTGTTTCTTGTATATATTTCGGGGTCAATGGAATTCAGCTTCCTCGTATTCAGTTGACTGATCCAGTTGCAAAATATTACGGGCTTAAGCGTGGACAAGTTATGAAGATAATCCGGCCAAGTGAGACTGCAGGACGATACATCACCTACCGTTATGTTGTGTAATGCACTTACTTTCATTGTTGGTTGACACCTGACCTGCTAGTGCTCTGTTTATAAATACTTGTGGCTGGATGAGAAAGAGCTCACAAGTGAAGCAGTCTTTGCAATTAGCATCTTAGACAACTGTTATAAGTATTTTTACAATAAAGTCAACACTAGCTATTATACTGGACTTGGTGTTGACTTTATCTTCAGCTAGCATTAGTCCAAGCCAATATCAAGTCCAGTATTTTTACAATAAAGTCAACACTAGCATTGGAAGAAAAAAAAAAAATTCTCAAATTTTTGTGGAGATAATTTGGTTTTGAAAATATAAACAACATCATGACCACACAGTTTGTCCCTTCAAAATTAGGTTGAGAGAACAGTCTCGACCATTCCAAAAGAGTAATTTCATGGTTCAGCTGCATAAATGGAAGAGCCAACATCAGTTTACATCTGAAGGTCCATAGCAGAAGTTCTAGCCCCACTAGTGCCCACACATTCAGTCCAAGTCCTCTTTCTTTGGATTTTTGTTTTTAGAAGAAACGATGATAATTATTGATGAAAAAAATAAAAGTACAAAGTAACTATGGTGGTGCCGAATCTCTTTTTTGGACTTTTAATTTTAAACATGGGGATAGGGGCAACGTAACAAAAACATTATTTCTTTGTTTGTTTGTTTGTTCTTTTATTTTTTGGGCTTTTTGGGGTTTTCCTAATTTTTTTAAATAACAATAATGGCTATATTCAATGGCTGTGTCTTGACTTGAATAGGGGTTTTGTTGTTAACAGAGAGATTTTCTAGTGGTAAAGATGGGATATGCATGAAAGGCCGGTCCTGAGTTTTCAAAGGCCCAGGGCGAAAATTTAAAGTGTGCCCTACACACATTAATCACTAATACTAGTATATTTCTTGTTTTATCAACTAAGCATTGGGTTTTTTGAGAAAGTATTTATTCGAAAATATTTTTAGACTTTGAGCAATGTCCTCCATATTCCTAAATAATGAAAACAAATGTTCAACTATGGATACCAAAGCAGTGAGTCAAAGAATTTCAAGAATGCAAGTCAAGCCAATATCAAAGAATTTCTTTTAAAACTCTCGTCATGGATCCTTTGTTCCAAAATTTCATATTCATCTCAATATCCTATTCCTAAAAATTATGGAAAAATATTATATCAATTTATGATAATATAATATAACACTTATTATAAAAATTAAAAATTTGAGGCCCCCTTGAATAATGGGCCCAAGGCAGTCGCACTGACTGCCCCTAGGCAGGGCCGGGACTGTATGCATGCTTCTTCTCCTTTCTACTTGGTACGAATTTTAGCATTTTAGAGAAGCTACAAGTTGTAGCTCCTCTCCAAACAAGTCTTTTCCAACTTCCTTTGGAATGGAAAAGTAGTTTGTATGAGTTTAGGCTTTAGGGTTTAGGGTATCTCCGAATCTAATACAGATAATACATATATATATATATATATATATATATATAGTGAGCTTCGGTTGAGGGATCCCTCAAACAAGCTTATTTAGGGACACCCTTGTAGACAGTGGCAGACCCAATAATTTTTCAGATAAGGGGCAATATTTGAATGAAGATTACTACTACTGTTTCATAACTTTATAATTAAAAAAATACAAAGTGAGCCACATAAAAAAAAAAATAAAAAAAAAACATATTATAAAAATATCTATAAATAAAAAACCAGAAGAAAAAAAGACCAGAGAAAAAAAAAAGAAAAAGAGACCTTGCGATTGCAATTTGGGTCTGTTAGCTTCTTCAATTCAATTTAAACGGAGTGAATGTGGACTCTCTTTATATTAAATTATTAATAACATTAATTGTGCTTTGGTAGTGGGTTCCTATCCGTAGAATATAAGGCTTTATCTCTACTTTTTTTTCATTGCCCTAGTCCAAAACGACGTCGTTTTGGCCAAGGACTTAAAAAAAAAAAAAAAAAAAGCATGTGGGTTGTGCTGTGTGTAACAGCCCAACAACACAACAAACAAAAAGGAGTTTCGCAAAGGCATTTCCTCGAGCAGATTGTGGTGGGCACTTCCACGGTAGAGCTGAGGGGCAAATTCCACAACCTTCAAAGCTCTTTCCGGCAAAGGGAGGTGCATATGCACCTCCTTGTGCCTTTGTAGGTCCGCCGGTACTTGCAGAGGCCCACCATACACTTTATTTCATGAATCCAAACTGTCTACTTTGTAAATATTCATTTGAAGATCATCTCTGCAAAAAATACTTGAATCCGATATCATTTGACTACTCAATTAAACTTTTGAAATTTTAGTACTTTCTTAAAGTACCGTGTTCATTGATTTTGTAGGACATAATTAGATGTCTAAATGATTTCTGATTTGTCTAATTTTTTGAAAGGATGATCTTTGAATAAAAACCTAAAAAATAGATGGTTTCTATCATTGGAAAAAAGCTTGTAGAGTACCTTAAAGGCGTCCCTCAAATAAAATTATTTGAGGAATCCCTCAATAGAAGGCAGTCATATATATACACATGAAATACACGCAATACGTCTTGTATCTGCAACGAAGTATCATTAATTTTCCTGATTTGTTGACCACCAGATATGGGTGGCTAGGGGTGGGCATTGGAACTGCAAAACAGAGCCGAACCAAACCGAAAAAAAAAAAATCAAGTTGACCAAAAAAGTCAAGAATCGAAAAAAAATCCAAATCAGACTGGTTCAAATCAATTTCGGTTTCGATTTTCCATTACACAAAACCGGTCCAATATAATTAATTTATATATTTTTTTTATTATATATATTTTAACACATGACTCTTTTTTATTAGTTGTATATGAGGTTACCGTAGGTGTGCATACACACGATCAGCAAAAAATTATAGGGAAATATACTGATATAATCACTTTTCACAAATTGTATTTTGAAATGATCACGTTACAAATCTTATTCTGATATAATCACTTTGGGACTTGAAATTACATAATTGCCCTCCATAAAAAGCATATCTATTGTGGAGCTATTGGCCATTGATTGTTGACCGAAAACTTCTGACCTCGCTCTCTGCGTTCTCTCTTCCTCTCTCAGCGTTTTATCTCTCCACCATCGCTCCATGACCACCACCACTCTGTTTCTCCCACTCTCGCGAAACCCATCTCTGTGTCAATTTCCCAACAAAAAAAACTCAATCTTTATCCCCTATCTAGGGTTATCTCGTCTTACAAGTCCAACCCAGAAAAATAAAAGCTTAGCCAAAGCCATGAATACATGTCCTTTAAGTTTTAATCCTTTATATTTTCTTTCCTGAAGAAGAAATAATGGACACAATGGACAAAATCATAGTTGATTTGCTGCCTTCTGATAGCATTTACTTCACTGTGGGAACATTAACAAGAAGCTCGATGTGGATCAATTCCAAAATGTCCATTCTTCCCACAGTGAGCTATCGGATTCTTGTCACCGATCGTTGAAACGGGGCATCCAGGTATTTATTTATAACCTCTCTGTTCTGATTACATTTGGACCTTTGCGTTTCTGTTTTTATGGAAATCATTTTGTGAGCTTTTCAATGTGTGTTTCTTTTGGGATTCTTTCAATTGTCTATTTCTGGGTTGTTGTGCTATTGGTCCTGTTCTCATGTAGATGAGCAATTGCATATGGGTTTATAGTGCTGGAGCTAAATAAGATATATTAAAGTATGTTTTAAATCTTGGAGTGGTCTTCTTTATTAAAAAAGGATCAGTTTTCTTTGTAAAGATTCCCCCTTTGTTTATGTGTATGTATGTGCATACATACAGCTCTTGATAATTATCAGCGGTTTATTTCAATTCCTGGATAATAAGGTACCTATTTTCATAGCTGAAATTGCACTAAAAAATCTTGGAGGAAGATTAACTGCTATAAATCAGGTAAACATGTAACAAGAAATGCAATCCTTGAACCTAGCTAGTAGAATTCTTTTGTGAGTTAGCTTTGATAATTTAAGCAAGAAATTGATGTGGGTCAGTTCAGCAATAAACTATATGGGTTTGGATTGGATCATATCTAACTTTGTCTTCTGCTTATTTTATAGTTAATGATCATTTCTGGAGTGTCCATTTCCTTCAAAAATGGGGTACTAGAAAGCTGGAGGGCTTTAGCATTAATAGGTGATTTACTTAGACAGACTATGCTTTAGAATACTTATCTAATATAGTAGTAGAGTGCTCATTTGTGTGGTGATTGCAGGACTAGTTCCCTGTGCAGTGACCATTTTCGGTCTTTTTTTCATTCCCGAGTCTCCAAGATGGTTGGTAAGAGATACTTTTCTTTTTCTTTTTGTAGTTATATTGTTCGTGATCTTAATGGTACCGGAAACAAAAGGGAAAACCCTGAAACAAATCCAAGGAGATATTAATAAATAGAGAAGTGAAGGAAGAGTTAAAAAAGAAAAAAAAATGAAGAGCATTTTTTGTGGTCATTTGCTGTCGTTGAAAATTTTGACAGCACAGTGCAGCACATTGGTTGATGGAATCTTGAGAGAGGCATCCAAACCACAAAAATATTGTACTACTACTGTTTACCCCACAAAATCATTGTCCTTACTTTTCATTTGTTGCAATGATTGTTTGGCATTGATTGGTTTATTTATTTTGCTTTTGTTTTTGCCTCTGGTACTGTATTCATGTCCTTGCTTGCTGGTTCCCTTTTTGGGGTTTTAAAAGGTGTATCTTTGGTGGTTTTCAATGCCACTGCTAGTGCATCTTCTTCTTATTTCTTGTCAAAGTTGATAGGGAGGCCCATTGTCTTCTTTGTTAGGCTTGACAAGCTGCAGTTTTTCCAAAACCTGGTAAATTCAAATGTCTCCATATCTCTCATTGATACTAACTTCAAAAGTAGGAGCAAGTCATTTATTTTTTCTTCCAGGTGGCTAAAAGAAGAGAGGGACTTTTGAACTACATGTTGTTTCTACGATTGACTCCCACCTTGCCAAACACGTTTCTTTCTGGCAACCATAATTGGTCTGATACCAGCTGGTTATGTCACTGTCAGGCTATGTGTCTTTCACTTCTATGAAAATTTTGGGTTAAATTATGAAGTTCAATTTTGGTCTCAGAACATCACGAGGAATTATCATAACTATACTCAAATCTTGAAGG